GCCATTAAATAGTCTGTGCGCGAGACAGATACCGGGGATGCTCGAGATTGCGAGTCCTATCCATTTTTTCGGTATCGACGCCGCGCCCGCCAACGATCTAACCAAACGTAACATGTATCTCCTCCACCGCCGAGTCGCGAGAGAGAACGGGGACATGACAAAGCTATTTATTTTTGCTCGATTTCCCAAGCTGAGGTCAATCTGTCGATTAATAACATTTGATTCGATTCGTTCAGCAAGCAGCTGAAGTAGTGTCACGTATCACGAAGAGGCCATCATCGATGAGGTTTAAAAGAGCCGATCGGAAAAGGGAGAATGCAAACTTGTCGCAAGTAGGGCGTAATATTTCCGATACTTTCAATACAACCGTGCTATCTTCCTGGTGACACGTGCACGCACACATCAACATTGTTGCACGAGCTTGCACGTAAAGCCAGCGCATGGGACTCCTGCAGCGCGAACCGAAGCGCGCCGGCTTTAGGCTCTACATTCTATCCGCTGCTACTATCTCTAACACATTGTAGACGGGCGCAAGCCGATGGCTTTTGTCTGAAAGCACAATGCGCAAACTGTTCGCTTTCCGAGGGTCGGCCGTCCGTCAACTCGGCTGAAATGTAAAAAAGGATGCACCGAAGAAAGTATCGATCTGAATTCGCTGTCTCTGACTGATGCGTCGTATATTATCACTCGTCTTCAAATGGACACAGACTGGACGGAGTCAGACGTAGAAAAGCGTTAACAGAGAAAATCATGTTCTATCTGAAGGAAATAATTAGTTCGATTAATTTAATTGAGAATAAAGATGTATTGTCGGTTAAGTTGTCAGGAATAACAAAACTAGCAAAATAAAAAAGAAATATCGATGTGGCTTCGGTGTCTCTAGTTAACGCGTCGCATCGTTATTCGTCTTCGAAGTAGATAAAGACGCGCACTACGCGGACCGGAAGTCGAAGCGTCGACGAAGTCACGCTTGTACAACCAGGAAATATCTAATTAATTCAATTATTTTTATAAAAGATAAATATAAGCGATATCACTGTAAGAAGTAAATTGACAGTAATAATATGACCAGAGAAATAGATAAAGACGCGACTACGCAGACGCGGGGCAGTCAGACATATCGAAGCGTTGACGAAAAGTCACGTTGTACATCAAGGAAATAGTTGATTATTTTTACAAAAGATAACTATAAGGGATATCACTGCGAGAATTAAATTGTCAATAATAACATGACTAGCGAAGTAGATAAAGAGGGGCACTACGCAAACCGAGCGGCCAGACATATCGAAGCGTCACGAAAAGTCAACGAAAGGTCACATTGTACATCAAGGAAATAATTGGTTAATTAATTTTATAAAAGATAAATATAAGCGATATCACCGTAAGAATTAAATTGTCAATAATAACACGACTAGCGAGGCAGACAAAGACGCGCACTACGCAGTCCGGGCGGTCAGACACATCGAAGCGTTGACGAAAAGTCACGTTGTACGTCGAGGAAATAGTTAATTCAATTATTTTTATAAAAGATGAATGTAATTGATATCACTGTAAGCATCAAATTGTCAATAATGACATAATAATTGTCAATAATAGCAAAGTAACAAGCTAACAATATCAATCGTACCGGGAAATGGGAACGTAAATAAAAGTACCACCGGTAAAAACTGAAACGTCTCATCGCTCAAGATGGCTTATCTTGATCGACGAGCCATTCGCGACGACATACTGATGAAACGATCCGCTAGCCGCGTGCGTTAGCCCCGAGATAAAGCGATCGATCGATCAGCCCTCCGATCGAGCCGGCGAGCTAGCTAGGAAAGTAATTGTCGACAACTAAACGCATAAAAAGCGTATATCTTTAGGAGAAATCTGCTCCTGATCACGTGCTAACGCACTCGTCACCTCGTTCCCTCGCGTCTCTCTCCCCCCCTTCTTCCCGCCTCTTCAAAAAGTAATTTACGAATCCGAGCCGCCCAAGCGGCATCCATCAGCCGGAAAAAATATCACGGATCCGACTCGTTCGCAGCTGACTGCCAAATCAGAGATGTTGCGAGCAAAAAGCGAGCGCGCGCGCGCGTTACGCATAATTCGCAAACCGATAAATAAAATGTTTCAGCTATATTTTCCTTTTTTCCGGTGCATGCTGCAACGCTGGATTTTATTTTGGACCTGACCGCGCGATTCCGAGTTCATTAAATTTCAAGAGAACCCCTCGGCATACGTGACGTTTTGTAATCGCGCATTTCGCGGCGCGAGTACACGTTTTCCCCGTCGTTAAAAGCGTGCCCGTGGCTGCGTGAAATCGCGAGAGTTTCATTGTGCGCCTCTCGTGCGATTCAGCGACGAAAAATGCGTCGCCCATGAAGCGCGTGCGAATGTTCGGCGGCGATCGAAGTACGGTTGGTACATCGGTGCGCGAGAGCGCAGGATGACTACACTTTCGTTTTCTGACAAACGGAACAACGACCGGCGTAACATGCGCGTACAGTGCATGTCGCGTATTTACCAACACACGTTGATTAAACTCCACGTAGGCGGTGGACTATTTATTCATATTTTTGTCGTACATGATAGCTGCTCGAAGAGCAGTTCTAACTGGATGACGCGGCGGCTTTGTCAACGATATCACCGAGTGCGACGTGCACTCCATTTCCGATTTGTTTTTGCATCGATATCCGGCGCTTCATCAATGAGCTGGATTCCATTGAATCAATAATACGCTACATGCAACGAATATAATCACGTTACGGAAACAAAACTGGTTCCGCGAATGATCGAGTTATCTCTACACTCGCCCCGGAAAAAATAAAAACGCGAAAAAACTCTGATTCAATTATCAATATCTGAGATAGGATTTCCAGATATTCAGATTTCAGCTAGATTCAGTCCAGATTTCACCTTCGAGATAACATTCCTACAAATTATATTTCTCGCTCTTTTATGGGAAATTGCTTCTTCCAATTCTTCTCAGTCTTCAACCCCACCAATCTAAGACATTTTCTCAGCATCTCGTACATTTGAAATCTTCCGAAATGTCGGGTGCGATATTTTCTGCAATCGGACGGCGGTGCAAAAATAGCAATAATTCGTTCCGCAAACACGATGGCCCATCGAAACCAGCGGGTGATAATCGTCGTGCATTAAATCACCCGAGCAAGGATACACAGCGAGCCGTGCACAGGGAGCGAGCGAGCGAACGAACGAGCGAGCGAGCGAGCGAGCGAGAGAGAGAGAGAGAGAGAGAGAGAGAAAGAGCCCAGGGTCCGTAATTGATTAAATAAATTCGCGTCAGCGTATTTCACGGTGCGAGAAATCACTCGTCGTCGTCGTCGTCGTCGTCATCACCGCTGCTGCCGCTGCCGCCAGCGACGCTCGCCATCCGTTTTCCCGGAGCCAGGAGAGAAAAAGCAGCTCCCAAAGACCCCCCCGTAACTCGGAGCAAAACGGATTTACAGGGCGTCCCGTGCCTTTATTGACATTCGACCGACCGGTAAAAATAGTTGGGCGCTCTCGGCCTGTCGCCTGGCTGGCGCGGCGTTCCTTCCTCCGCCCGTTGGCCCGGTTGGTCCATAGATCAGTATGGTGCACATAACCTGAACCTAAGCTTCGTCTAGCGACATTTGTCGACTATTCCAGCTAGCGAGTTGCAGCCTGCTTTCGCAGGCCGTAGGCAATGTACGCAGCGCGGGTAGCTCTCTCGCATTAGAGCTTTCGCAATTTCGGGACTCGGAGGGTAGACGACGCGCGTTCAAACTCCCATCAGGTCGGACGATAGAGCTTCGGGGGATAGAACTGGGAGGAGGGTTGCGGCAACGGAGGCTTAATCACCCGACTAATTCCGAGCGCGCTTCGCGCGCTGCAATGCGTGCGGTCTCGCGCCGAGCCAGATTCACTCGTCGGCGATAAATTATCGATGTCGTGTGATTCCAGAGATATTAATGCGATCTAAATTACGCATTGCCGGCTACTTCGATACCGCCTGATACATTGCAGCCGGCGCTGCACTGGCGGAACTCCCGCTCGTGCATCGTATGAATGCCACCGATTTATCGGAGAAATGAAAGAGGCAGAAGTGCTTTCATCGTCGTGTTGTAAAAGTCTCTCCAATATTTAAATCTCTCTCGCAGCCTGTCGGCGCTGCATTTGCGATTGCCTTGATTAATTGGTCTGTAATCCGATTAGCAACACCTGGGCTAAAGCAATAAAATATGAGGTGGCACATAAAGAGCGGACACGCGTGTATCTCCGCCGTTACAGTCCACCATCGACACACAGTTGACAAAGAGATGTGTGTGTGTGTATGTGTGTGTTTGTAGTAAATATCGCTGGGAGCAGCTAAGTGAAACTTAACGATGTTAGCCGTTGTCTGGAAGGTTCATAACGATCAGCGTCAAATTACGGTGGCCCCCTCGTTTCTAATAAGTACTTCGTTTACCTCCAAGTGCCGAAAGTACGGTTTTTATCGTTTTAATGGCTGAGGCTCGATTAAGGAGAAAACCAAACCTGAAACCCTTCTCGTGCCTGCCCGTTAACGTTAATCACCGTCGAAAAGGAATTTCGATCTAAACTCTTCGTTCGAACTTCGTGCGAACCTTCTTAGCGGCGCTGTTCGCTCATGATATCGACACTTCCCTCTTGATATTGACACTCATTAGAAGTGGAAAAATCATTAAGCAGAAAGTGTATGCGCACACAGAGACATTGCCCGCACACTCTTCACAATCGTGAAAACCTCTATTTCTGCGAACGTATAAATATTAAGACGTACGGGGATATATTGATCATTCTTTAAATTAATCATTATTTATCACTTGCTTGTTTATTATTAATTCTCATTAATTTATTTATTCTTATTCTTATTAATTTATTTAGTCATTAATTTATTTATTTAATTTATTTAATCCTCGTTAATTTATTATTAGTCCTCATCAAGAGCGCAAAGGATGCTGGCTAGTCGTACTTTCACCCTAAGATGTAGGAATGCAGAGCAAACTCACCGAATAAAGGAGGCGGCTCCACGTCGCGCACGGAGAGACTGGACGACGCCTGAGACGCGCTGGACTCGGTGCTCTGGGTGCATCTGAGCCGCTTCCTGAGTTTTGGCATATCGAACGGCAGGTCTCTCAGATCGACGCTGGTCGCGCTGCCGGACGTAGTGGCGTCCTGCTGCATCAGCAGGCGTCTCCTGCGCAGCTTCGGCATGTCGAAGGGCAGATCCGAGAGTTCCGGCTCGTTGTCGACGAAGTTGATATTGTCCAACTGCGGCTTCAGCAGGTGGAAGCCGAAGGGCTTGCACTTGATTCCGGCGCGGGACTCGATGGAGATACCGCTGTCCGATCCTTGGATCTCCGCGTCGCCCGACGACGACGACTGCAGAGCCAGATTGATGAGATTCTTGTTCTGAGGCGTTCGCCTCTTCTTGAAGGACGTGTCCATGGGCGAGGTGGTGACGGCGTTCGTATTAGCCGCGTTCGTGTTCGTGTTGTTGCCCGCGATGACGTTGTTCTCCGACGTGACGCTCTCCTCGGGCGAGGCCTTCTGCGAGTTGTTGTTGCGATTGTTGTCGGACGTCTCCGAGGCCGGCTCCTGCGACGACTTGTCGGAGATGGGCGAGAGGATGTGCAGCTTGGTGGCGTGATGGGTCAGGAAACCGGGCAACGACGGCTGCTGATGGTGATGGTAGCAGTTGGTGCCGCCGCTGTCTGAACTGTGGGAGCTCAGGCTGGTGCTGTGTCGACTCTCGGAGCTGCTGGTCGACCGGTTGCCCTCGCTGGTGCTGCTCCGGAGGGACTCCATACTGCCGCCGCTGCTGCTGGTCGCCATGCTCTCAGTGCTGGAGTAACCGGCACGACGTCTCGAGGTGCGCAGCTTGAACTCCAACGGGCCGGCGTCTCTTCGCGGCCGCGCCACGTCGCTTTCCGCCTCGTGAGGCCTGCCCTTGAACTCCATCACCGGTCTACTTTCGCGGATCAAGCTGCGAGGCCGTTGCCTCTCCTCCCGGGGCCTGCCCTTGAACTCCAGAATAAGCTCCTTGTCGAACCGGCGACCCTGCGAGGAATCGATGTTCTCTTGGACGAAGGTCTTCGGTCGACTCTTGATCTCGAGAATGCTGCCCTCGCTGCTCTGCGGCGAGTCTTTGGCGCGCAACGATTTCATAGGCAATCGCATGTCCTTCAGCCGAGGGTGGTCCGGCTGAGACGGCAAGTTCGGCGCGCTGCGGATGTTCAGTAGCAAGTGGTCTCGGTTGCCGTGAAACTTCGCGGGTAAAGGCGCGGTAGATGGAGGGGATGGGGTGTAATCGCGAGCGGGTAATCTTGGCGAGCCGGTTTTCTCATCGCTCGAATTGATATGGAGGGATTCGACATCCTGGGACAGAGTAGATATATTGTCTTGTTGTTGCTGCGATTGTTGTTGTTGTTGTTGTTGTTGTTGTTGTTGTTGTTGTTGTTGCTGCTGTTGCTGCTGTTGCTGCTGTTGCTGCTGCTGCTGCTGCTGCTGCTGCTGCTGCTGTAGGCGGCTCGGAATCGGTTTTGGGCGGAGAAGTACGACTTTGCGTCGATGGTCCTTGCTTGATTGCGACTGGCCGGCGTAAGGAAGTGATTGCTGATGTTGCTGCTTCGACGGGTCCGTTGATGAACTCGTTCTACTCGACAACACAGCGCTGCCGCTCCGCATCTGCGTTGTCAAAATTCTTTTTCACGCGAGTGTCAAAGTAAAACTCACACAATCCTCCTGCTCGCACGCTGAACGAAACAAAAAGTGCGCTCGACGTTTCTGTGATTAGGACTTGAAGAAAGGTATGAATGAGTAAAGAAAAAAAAACGATGACACTTCTGATGACACGCACAGAGTCGTGACGAATAAGCGGACAAAATTTGCGAGTTGGACTTGGCGTACATAATTTAGTAACAAAGAGAGTTTTCACAAACGTGAACTCCAACACAAAACTGTACTCGCATCTTGACTCTGAAATAATTTCTCCGAAACTTGCATCTCTCGTGAGATTTTCTTTACATAAAAAATCCCCCCCCCCGACTTTACGTACCTGCGAGTGCAGCACCGGATGATTGGTCACACGGTCGAGATCGTCGAGATCATCGTCGGAGCGATTGACCTTGCAGTCGAAGGCCGTCTCGTAGAGGTGACGTTGCCTGGCCATCCCTTCCTCGTCCTCTTCAGGCTCCGCGTCTTCCTCCTCCTCTTCCTCGCCCTCGTCTTCACCTTCCACGTCGTCCTCGTCCTCGACGAGTATCGGCTGCGGGTCTATCCTGCGCGTACGTCGTAGCTTGCGCACCTGGTGCCGCGCTACTTGCGGCTGCCGTCGGTCTAGCTCATCCTCCTCCTCCTCCTCGGGCGATGCGATACAGGTACAAACGGCGGTAGGCAGGTCATGACTCAACAGTCTATGAGGAGGCATGAGGGTGTGGTCCCACTCGGTGATGATGCACGACGAGAGGATCTCGCTTCTGGCCGGGACAGCATGCTCGCTCCCAGACGTGGGGCTCACTAGATCTTGGCTCTGATAGTGCGGCGGTGGCGGTGGCGGCGGTGGCTGCGACGGCTGCTGTTGCTGCTGCTGATAGTGCCGTTGCTGAGACGAGTAGGAGCCCCCATCACCCGCTACCGAGTTCCTCTTCGGTATACCGGGTGTGCGCGAACGCTCGCCTGGCACATCGAGGCTGACGCTCTTGCGATACTTGCCCGGCTGAGATTTCGTAGGCAATTGCTCCGGGACCTTGAAGAGGTCGCCGTAGTAATACGGCGATGGATGGCGCACCGGTTGATTGGATTCGGTCGGAGATTGGTCGGTCAGGTGCACGAGAGCGACGCAGTCTACGACGAGACCATCGGTCGAAGCTAAAGTATCCCGATCCGCCGAGGGTGCTCGGGTTGACGAGGATGCGTAGAGACTGTTCTTCCGTTTCCGAACTCTCACGAGCCGACCCTCCTCGTCGTCCTCGCAGGACGAGCCGGATGCCGATGGATCTGAGGAAATCGATCGATTTCGTCGATGACGTGAAATAACTCGTCTCGAACGTCGTGATTTTAAAGCGTATGTGAGATTTCCCGCTGACGGAAATGTGTTGACAACTACGTCGAGCTACTCGTGCAATTCGCATCGATTATATTACACGAGAAGAAAGGTATATCCTGGCTGTTCTGAGGTAGTATTAGCATGACTTATCATGACAGAAGCGACAAGGAATTCATCGACCGTGAGGGCAGGATCCAGAAGATTTACGCGTGAAAGGATGTCCCGGGCTGTACAAAGTCCGCTCTCACGTCGGGGAGACGAGGATCCCGAAAATGGCGCGAAATTTTCATAATCGTCTTGTTGTAAGGGAAGCGCGCGAGGGAAGGACTCTCGGGCCGCCGCCGCCCCCGCCGCCACCGCCGCCGCACGAAGAGAACGAAAAAGCTCGCGGGAGAGGCGAAATTGCCTTGAAATGGCGGCCTCGTCTCCTTAAAAATCACTTCCTCCGTCCGTGGGATATTACCGTAATGGTTCCTGGTCTTTTCTCTCGCCTCACGCGAGACGTTCTATCCCGCTCCACCCCAGCGTCAGCCACCCCTTTCCATCCTCTTCTTATTCGTCGACCCGTTCGAGCATCATCTAATGCCTCTTTAGGCTTTACGATCGTGTCACGGCCATTCGCGACAGCAAGGAAGGAGGCGGACGCAGACGAAAGAGGGGGCGAAAGAGAGAGAGAGAGAGAGAGAGAGGGAGCAAATGGAGGGAACGCAAAATTACGCGGACACCCGGTACGTTATATAGGCAGTGTACACATGCGGAATAGACGAAAGGACTGGAGATAATGGGCGCATTATGCTCTACCGGAGGGCCCCGCCGAAATCCTTCCTCGCTCCCTCCCTTCGGTGAGAGGGAGAGGCGGCGAGGGCGAGAGACGCGAGACCGTAAACCATGCCGGCGCTGTTTTTGACAGGGACCACCGTCGCGGATATACGGACGAACTTGTCGAAAGCGAGAAAAAAATGATTATCGGAGCCCGCTCTGGTCTATCGCGTCGTCCGGAGCCGTCGCTGCTCGAGCAGACACAAAGGCCCCGCATGGATACGGGTATATATCGACCGTTCGTATCGTCGAGTGCAATAGATGGTCTTTGCGCGTCTTTTTGTCGCCGCCATTCGCGCTAATTCGTTTTTCATCGATCTCCTGCCGCTGGATGCGGCTAATTATGCCGCGTGTACAAAGTGCATGTAAATATTTGACAGCGCGCATCGCGCTTTGAGGGCGCGTACCTTATTAATTCCGCGAGTAATTTACCGATAATTTTGCGGGGTTTGATTCGCTAGGGTATCACGCTTTCGTGACGTGATGAAACATTTTGCGGACGTCCTGTGTGCACGCGCGTGTGTCGAATGTACTTAAATAATTTCGAGTGCAATCGCAGCAACTGAGAATCCTGCGCGACTGCGAGCGGATGTACGATGTCGCGCGCTGAGCTCATCCGACAAAAGTGTTGAATGCAGAAATAAGTGAAGAAGAAGCGACGATTCTTCAATGGAATAGGCTCAGTGAAATATTCCTCGTATTGTCGTACAACGCGCGTCAGATATAATCGGTGGAGGGGAACGGGACAGAGCAAGCTGGGTATCTCGAATTCCCGGCGTATTCCGCTATTACGAGGGGAGCTTAAACTTCATTTTCCATGGTCAAACACAAAGAAGTGTCAGCGGGTATTCGCGGGTAAGCGCGAAATGGAGAATTAATTCCTGGACAATGAATCCGGCAAATTATTGCACGGCCCGCCTGCGCGGCCTGCGCGAAACTGGAACGAGTCGCAGGCGATTCCTTTTCACCTTCTCCACTGAATTCGCGGCACACACTCTTGGCAGCAAATGATAAACGACGGAGGAGCCTCGGATGCGGGACTCCAGAAGAAATGGCCCTTACGAAACCAGACGTTGTCTACGTATTCAAACTTTCACAAAGAAGCGAGGATCGCGAGAGCCGACTGATGACCCACCTCCACCGTGAGCAGGGGGATGAAAAACGAGAAAGAGGATCCATTACCTTTTCTTTTCACCTGAAGCTACTTTCTTGCTGACTTTCGTCGCTGAAACTTCTTGCTGGTTAAACTTTTAAACATCCCGAAAAGGAAAAAAAAAGACAAAAGATGCGATGTCGCGTAAGAATTAGAACGACTGATTCACAGGATTAAAAATAAAGGCAGACAATACTGCGTTCCATCCTGAGAGATATATAAAGAAAGAGAGAGAGAGAGAGAGAGAAAGAGAGAGAGAGAGAGAGGAAGAAAGAAAGAGGGAAAGGCAAGGAATGAAAAGTAGGCAAGGAATGAAAGAAATGAGAAAATACGATATTGTTTTACCAGCGCGTAGAATCGCTATAATATCGCGATAAAATGATATCAGAGAGGCATGTCGAGAAAGAGAGAGAGAGAGAGAGAGAGAGAGAGAGAGAGAGAGAGGCGTAATTCTCAGGAAATAAAACAGCAGAATAAAGGATAGCCCCGTGGAAGTGGAATCGAAGAAAACATGAATATGTATTTGCATCTGTTACGTTCGTGCAACTCGGGCGAGATGTAAGATTGAAGCTTGAGGAAAGGAATTCATTAAAACACACCGCAGTGTGGGCGAGCGAGCATTATTCGCGTCAGATTCAATATTTCAGGAATATTTCAAGCAACCTACGGCGAATGAGAGCACCAAGACGCTTACAATATTGTCCTATATATTTCTTATCGAATAAGTCATAGGATACTTCTTGTGTTCTCTTTATCGCGCGAGAAATGTATGAAAATTGCATTCGTCGCCCAAGTCGTTAAACAACGCGTCTTACGCAATTAATTGCATCGCTCACCCTTCGACAATCCGATTGTTCATCCGCTTGCTCGCGAGAAAAACTATAACCGACAGCGGCGACTGCGTTGTCGAGCGCGTACAAAGGCACGCCGTGCTTTGGCGCGTCGCCAAATTGCAGCGATATTGATTACCGATCGATAATTAGGTTTTCGAAATATCCATGGAGGGCCGAGTGCGCGAAAGAGGGGACAGCCAGGAACTGCTGATCGATTAAATTGGACCGGATTGTACATACGCGATGTGTTTGAAAGATGCGCACACGTAACTCGCGAGTGAAAGAATTCAATCGGCGAGTACAAAATTTCGCAGAGTTTCTCCTCCGATCGTTGCGTTAAACCGACTGTCTTCAATTAACAAATGAGATGAACGAGCTCGACGAGTGGGCTCACATAAAGATAGATATCTTTCGAATAATTACGGAGACTTCAAAACGAAGAAACAGCGAGGAAGAAGGAGGAAATGATGAAGCTCTGAGCGAAAAATGAAGGTTCAAAATATATGCGCAGAAAAATATATACAGCATTCGAGTAAATGTTATTTGCTTCAAGTTCACTTTATACGCTTATATATCCGCAAATTTATTATTAATTACAGGTTCATCATAAGCATCAAACTTACTCTTAAAATAGATTATGATTTCTGGTAAGTTTAATATCTCTCGATTAAGATTATCAAACTAAAACCAAAATTTAGTTTGCTTTCTTGCTGCGTAAAAAACACAAGTTTTGTAATGTTCTCGAAAAGAGAATAAATTTAATCATAAATTCTCCTTTCGAGTGCATGATAATGGGTTTTTCTAAAGTTTGCTAATGAGCTAATACTTTAGGCATATACTTAATAAAAAAAATATTCATTGTTGAAGACAAGTGTCGTTTAAAAGTACCATTATTTAAGCTCAGACGACAAGCGAGTAGGCTCTTCGTGAAGGTTTATTGTATTCGTGAAGGCGAGTGTCCGCCTGTTTTAGTAGTATAGAACGATATTTTTCTCTACGTGGCCGAAGGACGAATTATTGCATAGCGGCAGGATCGAACGGGTAGGTGAGTAACGGATACTACACGCGAATGACTGATCGAGTGACAGAAAATGAAAGAGGGTAACGTACGCACAGGGAGCTAGGGGCGAGGATGCGCCGAGGGTGGCAATGGTGTCTACTCTAATGAATCTATTACGGCCGGTGAGCGACAACCCTCGCCCGGCAATCACTACCGATAACACGAAACGCTGTCGCATGCATCCTGTTTACGTAGGCCTGTAGATAACCGGGATGAACGGTCCGTAGCGAGCTATCTCAGCTATGCCATTACATGACGCGGAATCTCGTGTGCCAACTGGAGGAGCGCGCGAAAGAAACACGCGCGCGTTCAAACTGTTCTCTGCCTCTCGATTAAGCTCAACGTATAACGATGTTACGATTGCGATCGACATCCAATTAGAAACTAATGTCAAGGCCACACCGCGCGATCCGTACAGGCCGTTATCGGAAATCGTTTATGAACCCCATAACGCGACAGCTTGCATAGCAATCAGTCAAATTAACTGGGTATAATTGAACAGATAATACACGCTCGGCATTGCCGAGCCGGTAATTATCATTCATCAATTAAATATACGAGTGAAGCTCTCGGACTCGCGAAATAGTGCGATGTACTCTCTCAACGTCTTGGAGTAGGATCTCGCGGAAAATGAGTGACAGGTGATAGTATTTCCGCTCGAGGTAGAATGAAAAAATGCGCCGCCACTCGAAATCGCAAGAGTGAATGTTTCATTCAAGCCTGAAGCGGTTTCTGACTTTATACGATTGAATGTTTCAAGCGATCAGAATAAACATGCTTTTGTTTGCGGCGCCGAAAGCACATCGAATTCATTCCTCAGTTTCGAGTGAAAGTATTCACTGGACGTGTGTGTGATCAACTTATTTATCAAAGATTCTATTTGACCCTTTAACGCCCGACTTCTTTACAAGTGTTTTCAAAATAAAATTTGAGTTTTTTTGAACTGAGACTATAAGTAGTGATAACCAAAAAAAATATCAGAATTTTATATCTTCGAAAAACTACGGAATTTTCTGACGTATCAAATAGTTCTTGACTTTTTTCAAAGCGTCTTCTTGTATTTTTGTTTATTGTTTATTGGTAAAT